ATCAATCTTCTCGATGATGTGGTACATATCATCAATTTGGACAGTACCGGACCATACAATCAAGGCTCTCAACCGCAAAGCCAGAGCATACTTATGGACCGACGATCCTAACAAAGAGAACTGCATACCGAAAATAGCCTGGTACTACATTACGAGGAAACCAGCCGAAGGAGGTCTAGGTATTATTGATCCCAAACAAAAAACAAAGGCCCTAGAAGTTAAATGGATTGTTAAACTCCTCACCAGACCTGGATTGGTATGGAACAAACTGGCTCTGGACAGCATCAGGAATTTAGCCCCTGTAGACACCCCAGCAAATGTGTCGGGCCTTTACTGGGTGATGAACAAAGAATGGAGCCCAAATACAGGCCGGAGGTATCGACGAAAAGGGAGGGGGGAAAATGAAGCTAGACCTCCCACACCTTACTGCCCTGCTACGGATATGGTGGGAAATCATGCCCAAAAAAGTGGGCAGACCCAAGTCTAAAGAGGAGGTTTTGAGACACCCCTGTTTGGTAATCCTTGGGTGAAGGACTCGAGTGACCACCCTTGAACCCTTAAACCTAGAGGAAGAAGATGGCTGTCATGGATAAGGTATGGAGTTTGGAAAGTCTGCCACATATGGGATGAGGAGAAAAGAGACTGGGTGACAGAACAGGACCTCGCCTGTCGGCTCAAGGGATGTCACCGACGGGATGAAAACCCGCAAATGGTCATTCGCTGCATTCCGGATGGTTGGAAAGAATTGTTGAGCGAAGCCTCAACATGGAAACCAGGAGAGTGGGGGGGCTTGGTACAGGAATCACCTCCTTCGAGGGCCTACCAATGCTCCCATAATCACCAGGGTTCAGACACTCTGCCTGTGTTCACCTCTTTTCCGATCATTCATTCAACTCAAGGGCTATCATCCATTCTGAATGATGGGGTAGAAAGAATAGTTCTAAACAACTTTGTGCTCAGGAAGTAAGAGTACTGGGGCAATGGCCAAAAACGATATTCAGAATGGATACAGCAATTTAGGACTTGGAGTTCGACCCAGCGGAATGGGCCTGGACACCAGGAAGAAGCAAAAACCTAAGAACCAATATACTTGTCCATGATTATACAGTTAAACTGGGTTACAACCTCCTAAGTAAAACCAAGGATCCAGAATCCAGATCCCACAATCAAAAATAGATGGACGAAGTTGATTGGTCAGGAAGCTACCCAGATATCACAGATACCATGGAAGAAGTTCAAATCAATCCGACCAGTCAAGATTAGAAGCCTCCAATGGCTTATCTCATACATAGCGTTACCTGTCAACCAATGGCTACATATCAGAAGAAGACACAAGAACCCCAATAGCTCTGACCTATGCGTAGTATGGCCGGAAAATGAACCTGAAGACATCATACACTGTCTAATAAGGTGTAGAGAAGCGACGGAGTATTGGGCCAGGGCATCAGACCAATGGGCTTCCCTTTTCCCGACTCCCCTCCCCGAGCACCCCATTCAACTCCTCCTCTGGACTAACATTCCAGCTCAGTTCCACAAGTCTGAAAGGATACGGTTTGGGATGATCAGAAAAATAACACTGTGGTCTATATGGAAGGACAGGTGCAGCAGAACCATCGCAAGGGATATCAACACCAAGGGAGAAAGTTTGGGCAGAGACAAGGACACTAATTCAGGCAGAGATTTTGTGCAAGTGGCAGAAGACAAGACAATCCATGACGGATGATTTGGATCAGCTGCTGAGAAGAACGAAGAAATTTACAAAGATATGGCTGGCAGGCGGCAAGGTAGCAGAAATAAAAGACTTCCGCATATGTTGGAAGGAATGACGCAATTCAGAAGTGGGTCTGAGAAGACAGAGAATCCAGCAAGCTCCATCACAGGCCACATAAGTATCATAGCAGGAGGTTGTAAACCTACAAGTGCGGAAAAGTGTGAGGACTGTGTGTCCCTTTGCTTGTCCCTTTCTTGTGCTTCGAGATAAATATGACAGATCCTAGTTAGATAGACCTGAGAGGAAAGGTGGAAGCAAGGCAAGCTGACAGTTAATCCTCCACACTACTGGAGCAATCAATGCTGATCAGGAATCCTTCGGCCAGATGGAAGGAAGCGTGAGTCTGTTGGTATTGTTATTTTTTTGACTTGCCGGTGGAATAGGAACCGGACTGACTCTCCCCAGAATGGATATGCAGCGAGGGCCATAAGGACCTGTTTAAAAAAAAAAAAAAAAAAAAAAGACTAGTCCACAGCCACTGCGACGGTGCAACCCAACTCCTCTTACACTTACAATATTACAACGCCTATAACAATCCCTAAATGTCAAATATCCGATCTAACTCCTCCCATATTTTCATCAACTCAATCATCCCCTTCTCCATCACCCCCAAAAAATAACTTATCACCTGGTTTCCAGAATAGTTGGCCAGAGCAGTTTAGTGTACCTAGCTAGACATCGAAGGACGGAGTAAAACTTTTTACAGGCCAGAGGCTAAGATAAGGGCTAGAATCTCGACAAAAGCCCGATAGGGTTAAGGGTTTTAGCAAAGACTACAGCAGAAAGCCATATGTGAGGATTGAGCCCTCAAAGGGGCCTTGCCGTGATGAACATGTTCTGGGCTAAGGCCCCCAGCAAGCCTCGTGCCCGCCCTAAGTGAAGGCGGGCCAGCAAATCAACGAGAGCCCTTTGTTCAAACATTTCTCGAAGTGGGGTCCATACAGTTGCCGCACACCAGTTGGTTGGAGTGCACTGAGTATCGGATCTCTGCAAATGCAGAAATCCCAGGGCCTCGGAATTGGTTAGGCCCTGGGCACATAAACGTGAGGCCGACAATGCATGCTGGATATAGAGGCCGAAAATGCCAGTGTGAAACCGGTCCACTACCTGAATCTGGACGCAGGCCTCGATGAAAGAGGCGCAACTGCATCTCCTGGGCCCCAACCGCATTGGGCCGGGGTACAGGTACTGGGGCCCAGGCGCAGGCTCAAGGGAGACCGCCCACACGCAACACTGGCATATAGGCAGAGAGGGCGAGTGGGCAAGCATCTTGGCCAATGCAGGCATAGCGGCCACGCTGCTGCATTGTAGCGCTAGCACATGCGCTGTGCAGTGGCTGAGAGAGGCAGGCTAGCGCTAAGCGGTAGAGTGCAGCCTGGGCGCAGGGCGCTGGCGGCCATAGCCGGGATGCCTGTGGGCGCAGAGGGAGGTGAGGGCGAAGGTGGTTCTTCGGAGGTGAAGGCCGCTGTGTGGGATAACAACGGAGAGTGAGGGTGAAGGGAGAGACGTACCTGGTGGAGAGGAGGTCGGCATTGGTGTTGACGTCATCACTTGCTGGTCGTCAAGTTGTCTGGTTGCTTCCAGGCTGTAGAGTAGGTAGGGCGCCTGGCGCCATTCAAGAGAGAGAACTACATTGGGTTATGCTGTTGGTGTTGCCCGATTGGGCTTGGACATTGACTCACGATTCTTATGTATCGTTCTCAAATGGATGGTTACTCGGTTCCATTGTACTATCTGCTCTTGCTTTGACTACTTGGACTTCGGTGTGATATTGCAATTTGGATTTCTGTGCTTCGTCCACATTCATGTTCCTTGCATTTTGGTATCAGAGCTGGTTCGATTCGCCACTTACCTTGGTGCGCTGGCGTTATACAGACTTGGTGCGTTGACGATGCTTCTTCGCAGTTGGTTCTTGTGACATCAGGCCATATTAGGCGCACGACCTGGGTAGAGAGGTGTGCGTCGGAAGGCTATACGGCTTGGGATGCCGTGGTGACGGCGGAATGTATGATTGGTGATGAGAGCATGCTGATGTGGCATTTGGCTGAGGTGGCACTGCATTGCGTTGTGGGTGGTACCGAGGCTACGACCGGTCATCAAATGCACACTCAGCTCAATTGGTGAGAAATCTGTGGTTGGGGGCAGCTATCTCCAGGTATGTTGTTCCCTTACCTTATCTACTCTCTCAATTTCTTCTTACCGCGAGGAAGTGAGTCCAACTTGAGAGTCCTCTCTTTTGGTGAGGTGTCGTGTGCGCGCTACCTTGAGAGACGACAGTCTTCCCGGTGAAGCATCTGGAAGGAGAAGGGAGGTGCCTCTGAAGGGCCCTGGTCGAAGCACATGGGTCACGGTCACCATGCCAACCCAATGGGATTAGTACACGCATGCGATGGCTGCTTTGTCCATGAGGGCACTTTGCTGCGCTGATAGAGGGGTGTGCGGACTGAACAAGCTATTGCAGACGCTTCCAGACCGTCTATAAACATTTCTGGTTGCGGTTCCGATCTGATAGTGGCTGTGATCGTCGTCCTGATTGCGACGTTAAATAATTCCTGATCGACCTTGGGGGCAGTCCTTAAATAGGCCTCTTGATCAGCCAGATCATTCGCACGTACGGCTCGTTGCACGCGAGGATAAGCATGCACCTGGGGCACAGGGGTGGGCCGACATTGCACACCTATGACACTGCTGATCTTGATGCTCATCGGTATGTTGGATTGAGGGGAGGGTAGGTTCTAATTGGTGCTCAACTGTAAACACAACTATATCCACTGTTCATACATCTGCAACATAGTCTGGTTTTATTGTTGATTAGTTGGTTGACAGACTGCTAACACCTCACAGACAGTTTAGTATAAGAATGTTGTATACTACCATAGCCAGTTCTGTGCAAAGCTTCTGTAAGTGAACTAATCATGATAGAACTAAACTATGTTGACAGTCTTTTGTGAATGTTGTAGGCTGCCACTTGATCGGTCAAGTAGAGGACCTGTCGGACACAATTATATTTTAGAAAATTAGGTGTCGGTCAGACACATGCTGTGGTAGGACTCCAACAGGGAGTTCTAGTGCGGATAGTGTTTGCCTAACTGATGAGTGGGTCAGACACCGATGAGGGTAGAGTTGACGATGCGAGACTGACACGTTCGAGATCACTTAGGGTCCCGCACGTGTTTCAGACCTTACAACCGGGAGACGAAGGACGGCTTCGTGCCGAACGTAGAGCCCGTGTTCTCGCAGCAGCGAGGGAGGCAGCAAACACCGCAGCAAGGGAACAGGCTGCAGCAGCAGCCAGCGCAGCAGCAATGGCTACCGCAGCAGCATCCTCTGCTGCATCCTCGTCTGGGACTTAGTTGGGAATGCCCCCTGGGTCCCCGGGTACTTCCGGATCTGTAGGTTCTGGTCAGTCCTCAAGTCAAATGGCGGGCTCGCAGTTCAGCCCGTTGACCCCACGCGGAAGGGAGCTTCAAGAGCTCCAGCAAGTCGAAAGGATCCGCGCACGGTTAGAGAGGGAACTGAAACAAGCAACGGATAGAGAAAGGGAGATAAAAAACAGAACAACCAGGCTTGATACGTTAGAGGCAGACAAAGCTGCATTAGAGGGTTTGGATGAGTCAGCCATGACTGACCAAATGAAAGTATTGAAGAACAGCGTACTGTCGCTGCATGCGCATGTGGACAGCAGACTGGACTTCATGCAGAACTCTTTGGACCAGATCTTGGACCTTTTGCAAAGGCCGGGATTTAGGCCAGCAGCACAGTCGCCGTTACCGTTAACGACGATGTCAGGCCCCTTTCCGGTACAAGCTGGCACACAACCAAGTGGTATGTCTGCAGCAGCCGCACAGACTGTTGCGTCTTCTTCTTCTGGGTCAGCGGTGATAGCTACACCATCACCGCAACAACCTGTTCCTCAACAGGGACAGCAGCAAGGTCAATGGTACCCAAAGACCCCTATGAAACCGGCCCCATCTTACCTTGAGGGTAAGGCAGCCAAATGGCTGGATGGATTAGTAGCAAAGGCCGGGTACGGACGACGCATGGCGAACTGGGCTAAGACCCTAACGTTAGAAGAGTTCTTAGACATGGTAGAAGCTCGCAGGCATAATCCACAACAGGCACAAATTGCCACTGATGCGATACTCAGACTAGACCAACGAAAGTACAATTTAGTTAGAGAGCTAACGTCTACCGTAGAGAGCCTCATCGTCGTTCCCGACATACGCTACGATGACCAGGTCTTATTGACCATGTTTGTGAGATGTCTCCCAGAGAATCTCATAAATTTGCTGGCCAGCGAGGCTCGCTTTGAGTATCATTCCTTTGAGACCTTCTCTAGAAAGGCCTTAGATTTAGAGGCTACTCTAGGAAGTGCTCAGCCTACTCCAGTAGACGGGAGGAAGAACAAGAGTCCACAGGAGTGGAAAAAGAAGGGGAGTCGGTTGATGATGGTTGAGTCTGATGGGACCCAAACTGAGATCGAGGAGCTTTCAGACCTGTTGGACAGTACAAAGTACGACGGCGAGGAGACCGCTGAGGGTAGCACCCTCGCCGCAGTTGTAAAGACTAAGGCAGGTGGCCGAGGGAAGGGCCATCAAAAGAGTCAAGGGCAGGTCGCTTCCAACCAGACCAAAGTTGCTGATTGGGTCAAGGCAGGTCTTGATCAAGAAGTGTGGCGGGGCCGTAGAGTGCGTGGTGCTTGCATCAACTGTGGTGAATACGGGCACATCCAGTACAAGTGCAAGAACGCAAAGGTCACGCAGAAGATACCCCCTAAGGGAGGGGTACCTTCTTCCCAGGCTTCTAGCTCGGAAAACATGTGAGGCCGGTGGAAGTTTTAGCTGCTTCTACTCATGGTGAAGTGGGCCAGATACCCTCCCCATGAGAAGGCCATAGCTAATGACTCTTTAGTCACCCTGCAGACTCATCCAGACCAAACTATGCTCTATACGTTGGATGTGTCTGATGCCTTAGAAGATTTAGAAAGTGAGTGGTCAAACAAGGACCCTCGCGAATCTTGGGTGGCACTCAGAAGAGGTCCTAGAGGGGAACATTTCGTTGTGGAAGTTGCTGTAGGAGACTGCAAATGTGGTGCCTTCATAGACATCGGCTCCACACGGAATTACATAAGTCGCGACTGTTTGGAAAGGCTGCACCTAAAGGACTGGGTACAGCACCTTAGTAGACCAGTAGCATCTACTTTGGCCAATAAGGAGCGCATGGTTGTCACAGACTATATCAAGGATGTAGTATGTACCTTCTCCTATGGAGGAGGGGAACTTAATCACAAGATTTCGTTCCTAGTTAGCGACGACTTACCATTTGACATGTTGTTAGGAATGTACTACCTTGAGGTTGCCAAGCCCCAGTTTGACTGGGACAAGAAGGTGCTAAAGCATAAGTTGCCTGACGGAAGGACAGTGAGACTGACTAAGTTTAAAGCCAGTAGTATAATCGATACCTATGGCTGCTTGTGTGCATCAACGTTCTATAACTACTATAAACAGAACCAAGAGGAGGGTATGTACCTAGTGTATGTCTCTGAGAAAGGGGAGGCCGTTAAAACACCCCTAGAGATAGGATCTATAGGATGGCTCCAGCCGAGTTGGATAACTTCGGTGACAACTGAAAGAGCTGACAGAAAAGGGATGGATCCGGCCGAGTACTTCCCCCTTCGGATCTCCAGTGCTATTTGTACCGAAGAAGGGGGGTACATTGAGGATGTGCATTGATTACAGAGGCCTCAATGCCATCACAGTGAAAAACGCAGAGCCTCTACCTCGCATAGACGACCTATTGGATAGGGTGCAGGGATGTAAATACTATAGCAAGATAGACTTAAAGTCCGGCTACCATCAAATTGCAATAAGACCTGAGGATCAGCACAAGACTGCTTTTCAGACCAGATACGGTCTGTATGAGTTTGTAGTGATGCCCTTTGGCCTTTGCAATGCGCCGGGTACATTCCAGCATGCCATGAATAGGATCTTCCATGACCACTTAGATAAGTTTGTCGTTGTCTACCTTCACGATATTCTTATCTTTAGTAAGTCTGTCGAGGAGCATGCACAACACGTTAAGACTGTACTTTCACTCCTGCGACAACATAAGTATAAGGTCAAGCTAGAGAAATGTGAGTTTGGACGCACTAAGATCTTATACTTGGGTCATGAAGTATCCGCGGAAGGTATTAGGCCGGAAGATGCGAAGGTGGCTAGTATCAGGGACTGGCCACGACCTCAGACTGTCACTGAGGTCAGATCTTTCTTAGGAATGTGCGACTACTATAGAAATTTCGTAAAGAACTATTCCACAATCGCCTCTCCTTTGACTGATCTAACTCGACTTGACACGCCGTGGGACTGGAGTGATGAGTGCGAGGCTGCTTTCAAACGATTGAAGCATGCACTCATGAATCATGAGGTTCTCATGGTGCCCGATCCGCAGAAGCCATTCATTGTAACCACTGACGCAAGCCAATACGACATTGGCGTAGTGCTGGCTCAGCAGGATGGGAATAAGTTGAGACCGATTGAGTATATGAGCAAAAAAATACCATCTAAGAAACTGACAAAGTCCACCTATGAAAGGGAACTCTATGCTCTCTATAAAACACTTGTCCATTGGAGGCACTTCCTGTTGGGACGGTTTTTCTATTTGAAAACTGACCATCAGACCCTTAAATGGATCAAGACTCAACCGACTCTTTCTGATGCACTCAAGCGCTGGATTGAGGTCATAGATCAGTATGACTTCAAGCTAGCGTATCTGAAGGGAGAGTACAACAAGGTTGCAGATGCGCTATCACGTAGGGCAGACTACCTAGGGGCGCTAGTTTCTGAGTTTGGTGTATCTGAAGAACTAACTCAATCGTTGGTGGGAGCCTATCAGGAAGACCCTGTCACGATGGACATCATACGCAAACTTCAGGCAAAAGACAAGGCCACAAAAGATAAATTTGTGATGGTGGACGGGCTTCTCTTTCTTGATAAGGCCGGATTTAGAAGGTTAGTTGTCCCATCTAGTGAACGTTTGCGTAGTTTATTCTTAGGAGAATGTCATGACACAACCGGACACTTTGGCTACAAAAAAACAAGTGTCAATCTAGTACAGCGATTTTGGTGGCCCAGAATGCTTGAAGATGCAAAGAAGTATGTGGAGACCTGTCAGGTCTGTCAGCGGGACAAGCCGCGAACTCAAGCAYCGCTTGGGTTGCTGAAGCCCTTACCTATCCCCGCTGGTCCGGGACAGGGTGTTTCCATGGACTTCATGGACACCCTGGTGACCAGTAGGAGTGGCAAGAGGCACATCTTTGTCATCATAGACCGATTCACCAAGTACGCTAAACTAATTGCCATGCCAGAGACCGCAAGGACTGAACACGTCATCAAGTTGTTTATGGACAACTGGGTGCGTGATTTTGGACTACCGAAGTCAATCGTCAGTCACAGAGACGTCCGCTTCACAAGTGAGTTGTGGAAGAAGACTGTTGAACAGATGGGCAGTCATCTTCAGATGACTTCAGGAAATCATCCCGAAGCCAACGGACAGGCCGAGCAGATGAACAGAGTTGTACAACACCTGCTGAGGCATTACATCAAGCCCAGCCAGGATGACTGGGATGAGAAGTTGCCCCTCATTGCCAGCCTGTACAACAACGCTGTACAGAGCAGTACCGGCGTTAGTCCTAATCAGCTGCACTTGGGATGGAAGCCTAGATCAGCTCTGGACTTCCTCCTACCTGAAAACCGATCCTCTGCAACTCCGGGCACACTTGAGTATGGTGTGCAATATGAGAAGTTGCTGCAGCAAGCTGTCGAGCACATCAGGAAACCTCAGCAAGCAATGATTGCTTTTGAGAACAAACATCGTCGACAGTCCTCATTTCAAGTAGGGGAACGTGTCTGGGTCAAGGCTAGTGAGTTAGGACAGGAATTCGGTATCTCTCGAAAACTGATGCCTCAGTATTTTGGTCCTTGGGAAGTCCTGGATATAGTTGGGGATGAGATGGATGGTCCTACCTATGTTATACGTATCCCTGGTCACCTGCGCACTCACCCTGTCTTTCATGCCTCAAAGCTTGCACCTTTCGCTGAGACAGATCAATTCCCTTCAAGGGGATCGATGCTGCCCCCAACCATGGATGGCCAAGTGGACATCGACGACATTGTGGATCACAGAGACACGCCTGTTCCAAAGCCACTGGGTAGAGGAAGACCTCCCAAACCCAAGAGAGAATATCGCATCAGATTCAGGCATCATACGGATCCCAAAGAAGATCGGTGGTTCACCAGAGAGGAACTGATTGACACAGCTCCTCAAGTGGTGGCAGAATATGAGAGGATGTTAAAAGGGAAGGCACCTGCGAAGTAAGCATCTCAGCGGACTTTCGAAGCTAAGGGGGATGGAATGTGAGGATTGAGCCCTCAAAGGGGCCTTGCCGTGATGAACATGTTTTGGGCTAAGGCCCCCAGCAAGCCTCGTGCCCGCCCTAAGTGAAGGCGGGCCAGCAAATCAACGAGAGCCCTTTGTTCAAACATTTCTTGAAGTGGGGTCCATACAGTTGCCGCACGCCAGTTGGTTGGAGTGCACCGAGAATCGGATCTCTGCTAATGCAGAAATCCCAGGGCCTCAGAATTGGTTAGGCCCTGGGCACATAAACGTGAGGCCGACAATGCATGCTGGATATAGAGGCCGAAGATGCCAATGGGAAACCGGTCCACTACCTGAATCTGGACGCAGGCCTCGATGAAAGAGGCGCAACTGCATCTCCTGGGCCCCAACCGCATTGGGCCTGGGTACAGGTACTGGGGCCCAGGCGCAGGCTCAAGGGAGGCTGCCCACACGCAACACTGACATATAGGCAGAGAGGGCGAGTGGGCAAGCATCTTGGCCAATGCAGGCATGGCGGCCACGCAGCTGCATTGTAGCGCTAGCACATGCGCTGCGCAGTGGCTGAGAGAGGCAGGCTAGCGCTAAGCGGTAGAGTGCAGCCTGGGCGCAGGGCGCTGGCTATGGCGCAGGGCGCTGGCGGCCATAGCCGGGCTGCCTGTGGGCGCAGAGGGAGGTAAGGGCGAAGGTGGTTCTTCGGAGGTGAAGGGCGCTGTGTGGGATAACCAGGGAGACGTACCTGGTGGAGAGGAGGTCGGCATTGGTGTTGACGTCATCACTTGCTGGTCGCTTCCAGGCTGTAGAGTAGGTAGGGCGCCTGGCGCCATTCAAGAGAGAGAGCTACATTGGGTTATGCTGTTGGTGTTGCCCGATTGGGCTTGGACATTGACTCACGATTCTTCTGCTTTGACTACCTGGACTTCAGTGTGATTTTGCAATTTGGATTTCTGTGCTTCGTCCACATTCATGTTCCTTGCACATACCATCAGTTCCAGCAAATAACGAGCATCTGACAGCTAAACAGCTGAGAGGAACAGTCTGGAGAAATCCCAAGTAGATAAACTGCAAACATCAGAACAAAGAGGACAGCGGAACAACAAAGGAGGAATAGAAGTAGAACAGGCTAACTTAGGCAGGGGTGAAGTCGGGTACATCCTTCCTACCGGAAGTAATCAATGCCGTCCTTGGGACCTCCCCACCATAAGGAGGAGGAGCGTGTGTGAGTGCTCATTGTATTTCTTTTGACCTGCCGGGGGAATAGGGACCGGACTGATGCTCCCCAGAATGGAAAAGGAGCCAGAGCCCTAAGGTTCTGTTTAAAAAAAAAAAAAACAAAAAAAAAACGATCACCTCGACTCCTTTTTTTTACGGAATTAACCAGACACCAGACAGTGGCAGACAAATCACTCCACAAACTAAGAACGGCCATGCACCACCACACATAGAATCAAGAAAGAGTGAGAAGCTACAATTTTTTTTTATTATGATTTTCTTTTTAACAGGTCCTTATGGCCCTGGCTCCATTTCCATTCTGGGGAGCATCAGTCCGGTTCCTTTTTTTTTTTTCTTTTTTTTTTTGAAACAGGTCCTTATGGCCCTGGCTCCATTTCCATTCTGGGGAGCGTCAGTCC